TTTTTAATGTTGTGGGCCTATATTTCTGCTGGAGGTCCTGGACATCTTGTTTAGACACATGGCATCTTTGATTCTAATAAATTCCAACAGATAAAAAAATCCAAAATTGACTGACTCTGTTAGAAATCGTCTCGGGTTACTTGTGTAACCATGGTTCCCTGAGGGGAACGAGACACTGCGTCCTCTAGGGGTCGCTATGGGGAACGCCTCGTCGTGACCCGTGTCTGAAGCCTACATTGAAAAAACACCAACTTGTTTGGCCGGCGACAGCCATGACGTCACTACCGTCGCGACAGTACAAAACAGGCGCCGGTAGCGCACATCATTCACTTCTTCGTCTGAAGCTTGTGTCCGCAGCATGGCACAAAAAGCTAGAGGACGCAGTGTCTCGTTCCCCTCAGGGAACCATGGTTACACAAGTAACCCGAGATGTTCCCTTTCGTGGAACTTCGAACTGCGTCCTCTAGGGGTCGCTATGGGGAACGGTATACCCATGCCGCCATGCTGAGGGGAGTGCAAGCCAGAACCATGGCGAGCCACTAAGTACCAACTACACCATATCGCTATGGGAGTTGCCCCTGTCCTGGACTTAGACGGCTGTCAGTGACATTACTCCCTACGGCCAGAAACCTGGGCTGCCAAGGGACATTACTAGAGCCTCACAGTGTGCAGGTCCCACTGGGACAAATTGGTAGTAGAACCCAGCCTACCAATAGTCTACCACGGGAATCAATCTCTCGAGATTAACCTCTGGTGTAATGAGGGCGGCTGGCTCGGTGCCCAGAACTGCGGGACGGCAGGGGCCACCGTACCAGCTGTGCCAAGAAAAGCCTCCTCGGAGGTGGCGCCAGGGCCTGGAATCATGAAGGACTCCTTTCACAGGGAATACGACCAAGAGCCTAATTATTGGATCAAACTAGTCTTGGCCTGTCACTCAGGGCTACCTCACTTTGCAGAAGGACCTGTCTCAACAGGCCCCCAGTGGAAACACCCTGTCAGAGTAGGTATTCACGGATACCATGAGGAGTGGGTCCCAGGCGGAACCGGGGTTTTAGACCACTCAGAAAAAGAGAACGAAGCTGTGCGCGTAACTCTTACCATATAGGATTTTAGAGAAGTGGGCAAAGTAGAACGTGCGCACTTACCACTTCTTGTGGAATTTTAGAAAAGTGGGCAAAGACACCGTGCCCACTTACCACCATGTGGATTTTAGACTGTCCATATGTAGATGGATACAACCGTTCTAGGGGGTTCACGTGGCACTTCTGGAGGGCAGCCTACAGATGGAACTCTGAGTAGTCATCAGTCTTCACCTACGGCTATCACGCTGGCGTGGCTAGCCGCGAACCTGTAGCTGAGGGAGCAGACATCCATTCAGCGGGAGCTCGACCTACAGCACGTTCCATTGGTGGAACAGCTAGCAGTTATCAGCTGGGGGAGCACACGCCCAGTTCTCACCGAGAAGGGGACTCGACCCGCAGCACGTTCCGACTAGCGAAACCAGGTATTACCAATTCCGGCGTGGGAGCACACGCCTGGTCCTCAGATGCACAGGGGGCTTGACCCTTACCAATGCCGGGCTTTCCCGCCCCGGCTGGCAGTAGCTCATCCTAGCTGGGGAAGCCCACAACTCTCACCGAGAGGGGCCCAACCAGCAGCATGATTAAAAAATCAGCGGGGTAGCATACCGGTGACCAGGAAGCCCCTCGGGGCGATCCGGCACTGAAGCCTAGTCCGGGTGCCTTGCAGCATAGCACCGGGGGCCTGATGTTCACGAAGGCTCCCGCAAAAACCCTGTGTTCGGCCGCATGATCCAGGAGGTATGAAGCCAAAGCTCGGCTTCCCTTACCGTTCGGACATATGTCGACGAGCGACACGCCTGCAAGTAGAGCACCTGGCTTCTGAGCCCAGCAACGGCACCTATCGAGGGCGTCTAGCCAGGGACAGAAACGTACAGGTCCCGGGAAACACTGCAAGGAACTATAGAAGGTTACACACACACACACAGCCCTCTCGGTCTGTCCTCGCTATACAGATATCATGATATTTGGATCGTACTCACCCCCATGACTTCTGCGCTGGAGCTATGCTCCGAGGATCCTCTGACCGGATCATCCGCTGCAGGTAACCTTGCACACTCCATGGTTATTTTTACACATGACCACCTCAGTCTCTCATTAATATGTCTCATGATATATGGATCATACTCACCAACCACGAGCGCTGTTGCGGGATTTTCTGACCGGACCATCAGTCAGGCGGTTACTACGATCTGGCCATAGAACCACCAAAAACATCACGGGTCCAGTAGGAGACTGTTTGAAAAACGCTACACAGCTAACCTCGGTCAGCTGGAGATGGTGGTCATAAGCGGGGAATTGGAAAAGGGGAGGACAGGGTAGATGTTGCACCCCCTGCGGGAGAGAGTGAATACCTAAGTATTACTCTGACCCGGACGAAAGCGCTGGCGCCTCTCCCAGGTCTCACCCCTCGGGTTTCGCCTGCCTCCTCTTGACCCACGACCCCTCCTACCCCCACCCACAGGTGGAGGCGGGGCGCGAGTCGCGACACTAGCCCTCTGCGCCCGTCTCTGATCCTCAATCCGAGACGGGCCAGGACCCCTGGTTTGTTCGGGCTCAGACCTGGGCCTTCGTGGTATGAAGGACTTGAACGCCGCTGAGCGCGACTTCGCCTCCCTGAACTTGTCGACCACCGTCTCAACGGAGGTGCCAAACAGTTCAGAGGGCGAAACCGGGGCATCGAGAAGAAAGCCCCTTTCTTTCTTCCCGATGTCCGCTAAGTTCACCCACAGCTGCCGCTCCGTCACCACCCTAGCAGCCATCGCTCTGCCCATGGCAGAGGCTGCCTGCTTAGTAGCCCGGAGGGCCAAGTCTGTGGTGCGCCGCAGCTCAGCCGTTCCGTCAGGGGAGAGGCCCTGCCCCTCATCCAGGTCCTTCAGCAGGTCAGCCTGATATGCTTGAAGCACCGCCATCGTGTGCAACGAAGCCACAGCCTGACCTGCCGCTGCGTATGCCTTGCCATTCGTGCGAGATGTAGCTTGAAGGGGCACGGATGGCAAGGAGGGAGGGTTGAGAGATGATGCCTCCCCCAGAGAGAGATAGCTGGCTAGCGTCTCTTCCACAGCGGGCATCATCCCATAGCCACTTTCGCGCATAGACTCGATGTTTGCATAACTCGTATGCCGAGACCGATATATGCGTGAGGAAAACGGCCTCTTCCATTCCTTCTTGATCTCAGTGTGGAGATCAGGAAGGAAAGGAAGGCTCACTTGAGCTGGAGGTCTATGGCCAGAGAGATACCGTTCGTCGAGGCGACCTCGCGACGTCACCTCCTTGGCTCGTTTCCATGGTAACTCGAGCCTCGCCGTGGCCCGATCCATTACCTCTAGCAGCTCAGCATACGCAGGGCAGGAGGATTGGGAAAGCTCAGCCTCGGCTTCTTCACTCTCCACATCCATTTCCTGCTCTTGTTGGGCTGGGCCCAACTGAGCACTACCCCCTGGATCAGATGATGTTAAAGAGAGGATATTGTAAGGGCTCTGTCTAATAAAACAGGCCCCCATGAGCTGTGGATTCACCACGTGAATATCATGAGATATCTATACAATCACCCCAGCACATGACACCAATTTTCGGGGGGCGACTTCCTGCCTGGCTCGTCGTCCAGAGGAGTAATTATAGACTGATTCAATACAGAAACAACGCTTTCTGTGTATCAAGGACTGAAAAAATTCTTGCAACCTATAAAACCCACGATTCCATTCGGAGGTTTTGTGACCAACTTTTGCGTGCGACTATTATGTCCAGACAGGAAAAGGATAACTAACTTAACTGACTGCCCTTAGGCTGGAGGCACGGGATATCCAGCGTGACAAATGACTTGCTACCACCTGCTTCCTGCCCTGAACTTACAATCCTTTTTGTCACAGACAAAGAAAACCGAGCATACACAGAAAAACGTTTAATTCTCCTAAGTAGTGAAAATGTATTCATGAATAATGTTTTATGTCCTAAATATGTGTGATGTGTTATTGAAACCCTGATAGTAATCATTGCCTTATAACTTTGTTTTAGTCATTGAGATTATTAGTGTGTATGCAAAATAGCTGTTGCTTGAGCTTAAAAGAAAGCTTGTTTTACACGTTGAATGTTGGTGTGAGTGAAAATGTGATATTATGTATCATTTCTCTGATAATACTTTTACCAGAAATTATTTGGAAACTTGTAGAAATACCCACCACAAACAGCATGTGATTTGATGCATAATAAGAAACAGTATGGGGCGTGGCTAAGCCCGCAGCCCCATCTGATTGGGAAAAGCGACCCGTGGGACGGACTTAAGCCGCAGATTAAAACGGCACAAAACCCGAGATTTAGTGCTGGAAAAGGAGCTGAAAAAGGAAAACCACGCGCTCACGCCTTTGCTTCGAGACTCTGGTAACGGAGCTTCAATGCCATAACATCGCACAGCCGGGACTCCAGAACGCAAACACCTCCGTTGAAGCTGCGTCACTCTGCAGAACGAGAAGCCTTGTGAAAACAGACTTTTCAAAAGGCAGCTGAAGCCTCTTCCATCAGTCATCAGGCAGATAACCAATGCAACGAGGGCTTTCCCGAGAGGACGTCATTCAAACGCCATTCCGACGTCACACCAGAGACCAATCAGAAACGGGGTTTCCCTCACGCAGAAAAATATCAAGACTCAATTAACTGTGTTTAAAAAAAAAACAGAATCGTCAAGATAGTTACTAGGTATTTGTTGAGGGAGAATGGTTAAACATAACACTAGGAAGGCTATTACAGTTATATATATTTTTACATACTCAAAAGCAGCAACAAAATCAAAGTTTCACTGTTTCTATGTGACTGGTTTACTTCCTTGATCAACACAGGCTGAATTTGTCATTTGTAATTATAATTTGTAATAGCCCTATGGCTTGATTCATGGACTGTGCTACTCTATAGATAATTGTATCAAGTCAAAACAACAGTATTAGATTCAGTATAGAACTTGCTCAAACAACATCTTGTTTAGATTTCCATGTGTACACTATTGTCGCAAACCACAATCATCCATGAAGAGGACCTGGAACATGACCAAAACAATATTATTCTGTGGGAACCGTGCATTTGTTTATTATTAACTGGTAGAGGGACATAGTGTAGCTTTAAAACACTATGTTACATAGTGTAGCTTTAAAAATATGATTATTATACTATTAAGGAAAATTAAATTTATACATTTTGAACTGCATTTCCAGAGTTTTGAAAATGGAATCATCAGGAAAGCTGCTGTCATCACGACTGCTTTCCCTGCTGAAGAACGGACAATGGGCAAAAGATGATGTTGTTAAGTTGTTTAAAGCCCTCGTGAAAGAATGTAATGGCAGGAATGAGGATTTTCACACATGGACGATGAGAATCCTTCATCAAGTGGAGATTCACAAAATAAGTGTGTCTGATTTGACATCGAATGACAGTAACATTGTGGATCAGGTTGAGGAAGAAATTAATAAAATAGCCAAAAACACTGATGAGAAAACACTGGATGAGATTATGAAGGAAATCTGTGAACAAGCAGTTATTGATGAAGAAATGATGGCACAAGTGAAAGATATTGTGTCTTCTGTCTCCAAATGTCTATCATATTCCACAGCATCACATCTACAAGAAATAAAGGAAAGTTTGTTTAAACTCTGCAAAGCTGTAGAAAAGACAATGAAATATAAACCTCTCCTGACTCAGATGGTGAGCTGGTGCATTCTGGTTCTTTCTAAATCAAGTCGGCTGGTTCAGGTTGGAACAGGAGAAGGAAAGTTGTGTATCGTGGCAATGTTTGCAGCATATCAGGTCATGATGGGAATCACCCCTGATATCATCTCCAGTTCTCCTGTACTTGCTGAAAGAGACACTGAAGAATGGTCTGCATTTTATAAGAGACTGAATATCACTGTTGACGCCAACACCAATAAATCAGAAGACAAAGAGCTGAAGATCTGCTATGAATGCCAGGTGGTTTATGGTACGACTCAGAGTTTTGCAGGTGATTTTCTGAGACAGTGCTTCCACAGAAAAGATGTGAGACCTAAGAGAGAGTTTCAGTGTGTTATAGTGGATGAGGTGGACTCATTAATGCTGGACAAAGGTCTTGAAGTGGTTTATTTGAATAATAATATGCCTCTCATGGAAACTCTGAATGGATTACTAGCTGAAATTTGGTTTGTCATCAATCAGCTGAAGCGTTTAGACTCTGGAGAGATTTTAGGACCCATTCGGCTCCTCTCTCAGGTTCTGTCTGAAATCATGCATGAAAATAAAAACACTTATAAAGTCAGTTTTGTACAGAATGCTGTAGATGAAGCAAAACAACTAGATAATGCAAGTGCTGCTCAAACAGAAGCATTTTTAACCATGTTTGTGAGAAACTTCCCCGAATATTCCTTTAAACTTTATCAGGAAGGATCTGATGGGAATTTAAAGAAACTTAATGAGATCAGTCCCACAGGTACAACTAATGGCGCTTTTCCACTGCATGGTACGGCACGGTACAGCTCGCTAGCCAACTGTCGCAAAGCAAATATTGAACTTAACTGCCAGTATAACATATTAAAATGCGTATTCTGTGTATTCTGTGTATTCCACATTTCGCAAAAAAGTCGCCGCAACAGACCATCTGTTTGGACATTTAACCGAGCTTCAGAGTGGTGGGATGTGATTGTTCCCGGTTTTACAGACACTCAGTGGCTGGAGAACTTTAGAATGTCCGAAGAAACATTTATCCACTTATGCAACAAACTGCGTCCAGCGATGGAGAGACAGGACACAAACTTCCGCGTGTGTGTACCTCTAAAGAAAAGAGTAGCCATCGCACTGTGGAAGCTTGCAACCGGCGCTGAGTACAGAAGTGTTGGACATCTTTTTGGTGTAAGCATAACAACTGTGTGTCGGTGTGTTCAGGAGTTCTGTGCAGCAGCAGAAACCCTGTTGGTACCAGAGCAAATTCGTTATCCAGATCAGGAAAAGTTTAAAGAAATGGCTGCCTACATTGAGAACAGGTGGGGACTCCCACACTGTATTGGTGCTATTGATGGATCACACATCCCCATCATAGCACCAGAGGAATATCACTGTGACTATTTCAACCGTAAAGGCTGGCACTCCATCATCCTTCAAGGTGTTGTGGATGGAAAGGGACTTTTCTGGAATGTTTTCACAGGACTGCCTGGAAGCCTGCATGATGCTCGGGTTTTGAGACTGTCAACACTGGGAGTTGGCAAGCCGTGGAAACCACATACCAGCTAACACCAGAAACATAGGTGGGGTGACTGCTGGCTACTACATCCTAGGAGACTCTGCCTATCCCTTGCAGAACTGGCTCTTAAAACCATTCATTGACACTGGACACCTGACAGCAGAACAGCAGGTCTACAACATGAAAATCTGCAGAGCACGCGTAGTTGTTGAAAATGCCTTTGGTCGATTAAAAGGAAGATGGCGATGCCTCATGAAAAGAAATGACTGTGCTGTCAACCTTGTGAAATCCATGGTGCTGACATGTTGTGCTCTACATAACCTTTGTGAGAGTCATGGAGAGGCCTATGTGAATGCTTGGGATTTACCACCAGCAGCAGAGACCGTGGTGGCAGTGCCACAGGCTGTAGAGGAGGAGGGCAGGGATGTTCGTGCAGGTCTGATGCGTTACTTGAATAGTTAACTATTCATGTAGCCTGTTCTGTAAAGTGAATTTTCAATAAACTTTTGTACAATTTTTCAGTTTAAA